TTTGAATTGATGTTGAGTACTATCATAGTTCAATTGGCTCACTATCCTACTGTTAGGAGATAGACTCACTCGGGATTGACCTAGAACGACGAAGTGATGGATGAGTAGGTGCTCTAATCGACCTAGGGTTTCAAGTACCGTCAAGAGGTTGACTCTATCGACTCCCTCGGGGATTTCTCAGAATGATGATAGGAGTGAACCAAAGACGCCATTAATTGGATCTAAAGGGTTCGTCACTCTCCTAGGTCAAAAGCTCAATTGACATGAAATGGAAACCAAACTTGTGCATTCCATGGAAACCATTCATCAACTAGATAAATTCACCAATCAAGCATAGAATCCGTCACATACATCAACATCAAACCAAATGTGGACCTAGGGTTCCAACCTAAGAGAAGAGGTCTAGTTCATAGAGAGGAGAGAGATTACAATACAAAGTACAAATTCTTCCATCTTCTTTTTCTAGGGGTTGATCACCAAGCTTCAAGGACACTCTACACCCTCTCTCTCTCTCTCTAGAACCCCTCTTTGGTGTTTTTGGGTCAAAACCATAATGAAGAACCCAAAATTTTGAACCCAGGCCAGCCCCCTTTTCACTCTCTCTGCATTCTATTTGTACCGCTTGAGCGCCAACATCACGTGCTGAACATCAAGGCCGTGACATTGACAGCCCGCCCATGATCTCGATCCAAAACGCAGCCTATTGCTGCTGCTTTAGTCCATCTACATGGTCGGCTAGAAAAGTTCACGGTCTGGTGACTGTGATAATTGACCTGCCCACGATGCGTGCAAACCTCCTATTCCTCAACAATCTTTATAGCCAGAAATCAATCTTCATGGGTAGTGACCATGAAAAAATCTCCCATCCCTAGATCTCAACACTTTCTTCATACTTTGGCACTTTTCGACCCCATTCGTCCCAAAACTCATCCTCGACCTTCCCTCACATACTAGGACCTGAAATATAACAAAAAATGGCATAACCTATCCTAAAATAGTTCGAGGAAAGACGATAACCAAGTCAAACAATCATGATATAAGGGGGTAAAAGATTTGTAATATGCCCGAATCAAACTCCCCCACACTTGAACATTAGATTGTCCCCAAGCATACTAAGTACAACACAAGGTAAGCTTACGACTTCGTTATCAACAAACTTTGGTGGCATGTCATAGGGCACAAAACAAATGAATTTCAATGGCTATTTGACACCGACATACTGACAACATCAAACCAGAAAACCACCACAAATGACATTCATATGCAATAGAACCGTGTAAAGGAAGAGTTCTCACCTTATTCACAGACCAATACATAACCTATAATGACGACTCACTAATCACAGTTATCCATGCATAAAGTCTCATCATTGGAACAAACGATCGAGCAAACTAGGTCCTCACCGGGGTACTTGATAATATGAAAAAGAATCGCTCACTCTCGAGTCTCGACTAGTGGGGTTAGGATGCAAAAGATGTTCATAGTCAAGTGCTCAACCCTATCGTCTCTTCACCATGATGGTAACCTCTAAATGCTAGAGCTTACAAGACAGGGGTAATCACTAACTTGTTTAGAGATCTTAGACACGAGTTCGAATGACAGACTAGGGTCTAAGAAATGGTGAAAAGGCTTTTTCAATGGCGGGACATATAACATGAGGTTCTACAACTTGAATCTAGAACTTAAGTACAAGGTTCCATAGTTTTGATCAAGAACAATCCTCAATGAACAATGACCACTAACAGCGGCCAAAAACTACACTTCCCTCAATTTCAAACCACAACCAATCACCAAACCATTCACAAAATACTTTCTTTGATACACTTGTTATCAACTTTCAAGTACAAGAGTGAAGGAGATAAACAAACATGTAAGTGTCTCAATAGCTAGGATGCTAAGAAACACCTTTTAGAGCATATACAACATTTAGTGACAACCCTCTTTTCTTCTTTGCCATTTTTATTAATTTAATTTTCACTTCTTTTTCTTTCTTTTCTCTTTCTTTTTATTGAGGGCTAGTAGATAGCTAAACATGTTACATTCTTTAAACTTTATAACCCATGATGTGGAGAATCTCCATTGTGATGATCTATGAGTCGTCCCCTCCGTGCAGATCGTGGGTTCCACTCTAAAATGTCGGGCTAACAAGGTAATAATGGGCCACAGGTGCATAGTGGAAACTCGTGGCTGGCCCAAGGTCCTAGAGAAGGAGTTAGCCACTACTGAACCGAGGTGGAGTGACTTTGGGGGTGGACTCAAGGTGTAAAGTGCCACCATCCCTCAGAGAGTGGCCTACCCGGCTTCCTGGAGACTCGGGATCATTGAGAGAGTGAAGAGCATGTGGAGTATCCTCCACTGGGGTCAGAACTGAGTCGCCCTGGAGTGGAAGGATCGATACTGGCGGTGGGTCTCTGTCGAGAGGCGAATCTCCTAAAAAAACTATTGGGGCTGGAACTCTCGACTGTACTCCCTCTCTTCCATCATCATCAACCCGATCTGGAGACCCAAAGCCTGGGCTAGAACATAACTCCTAGTAGATGAACTCTACAAATTGCGTTTGGAGCCTGCTCTTAGGCTGCTCATGCCAAAAAGTGGATTAGGACTTCGGGCATAACTCCTGGTAGATGGGCTTGTCAATATTTAGGATTATGTGCCACTAGGAATGGGCAACAGTTGCTGACATCGTTTCCCGACAGTGGAGGAGATCAAACATGTCGAGATCTAGACACCAATGCGATCTAGGGTCCACATCCCGCCATATCTCATACTCGTTTCCATACCTCGGGTGTTCCACCAGATATCGAATGTAGTCATGCATAACATCAACCACCCTGAAAAATACAACAGAACATGCACCATACACGAAAACATTGTCAAACAAAACACCATATGGAGAAAACTAGCTCCTCAGCATTTTGAATTCTGACAATATGCAATATGTCTCCATAGGCTTTTCACAAGGCCGGATGACCATTATTTAGACTCAAACATTCACAAATCATACTGAGGCATAAAATTAGGAGTTTTATAGATCAAATAGGTTGCAATTGAAACCTAGATCATGCCCCGATGACCACCAATCATCATGCACAAAACTGAATAAAGTTTTTCATTCATAGCCTGCACTTGGTGGGCTTTATTCAATTCACACAACAATTCATGTCAAATCTTGCACTCCAAAGCTCAATTAACTTAACAGACACTTCATGCATCATTCAATCATCCTAATTTGACTAACCCCTTGCCTAATTTCAATATTCATGCAAAAATTCCCAACTCTCCCCACCCAAGAACCTTAAATCCAATCCTTCAAAATTAACTAAGGAAAATTCCAAAAAACACTTGGATACAAAAGCGGGATTGAAGAGGAAGGTGAGTAAATGGCGAGGGAGTCGAAGAGACCGAAAAACTGACAGGAGAAGCTTGCCGGAAAATCGCCCCGCCAGAAATATCCGAGCCAAATTGCAACAAAACTTTGGCGAAGGAGATTGGACTAGGGGTTATGGGCTTGTGTTTGGTTTTAAGTTTGACTGTCCAGAAGTCGAAAACCGTTAATGTCACAGTTTTCCGGCCAGAGTTTGTTAGAAACAAAGTTTCTAATGGGATTCGGATTGGGTGATATTTAGGAATTTAGGGATTGAGAAGATAGAATTAGGGATTTGGGAGAAGAATTGAGGAAGAATTGGAGAGAATGGCTGGCGGCCGGATTAGGGAGAGAATAGAAGTTGAGAGGATTTGGGAGAGAATAAGGGTTAGGGATTTTCTTAATATTCTTCTTATTGCTTCTGAATGGAAGCCCAAAGTACATATATATAGGAAATAGTGGAAAACCCTAACAATAAACCTAATTCTATTAAATGACTACTAACCTTAATAAGACTTACCCTAATAATAAATAAATTAATAAATATAGAAACCCTAGATAAATCGGTTTCTAACATCTCCTCCCCCTTCAGACCAACATTGCCCTCAAGGTTGATCGACTCGACCCATTTCTTCACATCTGCAGCGCAATCCGCGTTTTGTCTTCTCCATCTTTTGCGCCTTCTTTTCTTCCAATCCTGCTCCAGCTCCAGCTCACGAATTGGTTCAACATTACCAGCTCTCCGTTTCATCGATCCTTCTCCCACCTCGTGGCTTATACGACCACAAACCAATGAGTCTATTACTTCTCTTTTCAACTCCACCAAGTAGCTTGTGTCTCCTCTCACTTCAAACTGTAGCTCATAATTCTTCACAATTGGGTCTTTTGCAACTCCATTAAACCAATCTTCTACCTTGTTAGCTTCGTTCCAAGGTGGCCCATGCCATTTTGTTGACGGCATGATTCCTTCACGAAAATCCAACCCATCAACTTGTTTAGTTGACTCTCTAATAGATTTTGGATTGTGTTCTCCTACAAGCGCACCTTGAAGACTTGGCCTATCTGTTTCTTGCACCCAGCTGCCCTTTTTATTGTTTAGCTTAGGCCTAAGTCCTTGCTCGGCCCATTTCAGTCCTGAAATCAGCCCACCACTCTCTCTCTCAACCCAAATTTTTATTGAATGCGGCCAAAAATTGGCTCACCGTGCTGTTTCTCTCGGCCCGAAACAAGCCCAGCAACCACCTTCTTCTTTGCGATCCCGCCTCCCAGTCCGACTTGGCCTGCTCCCTTTGGCATCACGGCCCGATTAGTCTCGCAGCCCACCGAGACTGGCTGCTGGTTGGCTCGGCCTAGGGTTAGCAACCCCACGCTTGCGAGAAGAGGGAACCCGCCGCCCTCGTCGTCCTCCATCTTCGCCCGCGACACGCGCAGAGGCTCACCGCCTTCGTCTTTCTTCTCCAGCAACTCATCCCGCGACGATGATGGCTTGCTCGCTTCTGGGGCCGTCGTCCCTCTCCCGGCAGGATTCGCCGCTCGAGATCCCTTCTCCTTTCCCATCGTCGGCAACGAGAAATCCTCCAGGCGTGTGGTTGGCGGCTCCCATGCCGACGAGTTTTTTCTTCGGACGGTGATTGCATCACCTGAGGCAGTCCTCGATCGTCGGATGGTCAAGATGGAAACCCGATGTTGCCTCTGCCTCGCTTTGTCGATTACTCCCGACGCTGAGATTCGCCCTCATCGAATGAATCTCTGGGTTGATGGGCACTGGAGTTTGGGTTGTCTGGGTCTCGGCTGTAAAGGCGGCCAGCGAATGCGCCACTCTATTTGTTGCGGCGTCACCATCAGCAATCATCAACGCCGCCATCTTGCTTTTGTCGTCTTCCACACAGGAAGTCTTCGCACGATCCTTGGGTTTCCCAAAACAAGAGCCATTTTTGGGACGTGCCTTCTTCTTCTTCCTGTATTTCCAATTAGCCTTGTCATTCTTCTCTATTGAATCACTGGTTACAGATTCAGGTGCTTTGGAAGTCCTTTCCCATTTCAGACCCGATTCGACAGCCTTGTTTACCCGTGCACACGCCCGCTCGTTCTCCTCTGGCGGCGCGATCTTCGCCACCTCACCGCATTGCTCCGCCGTCTCCTTATTAGAGACAACGGTAGGGGCGATACAATATCTTTTTTCTTCTTTGACTTCGGATGGTGGCGGCATGGTGGCTGGCGGAACGATGATGGCCGGAAACAGTTGCTGCTCGTCCTTGTCCTCGACATCCTGATCGCCTGTTGGGAGAAATTCGATGGAAATTTCCGCCGCAGCTTGTGGAGGTGACGTCCCAGCGGTGGTGGTTGGTGGTTTGGTTACCAAAACCTCTTCCACGCCCGGCTGGTCTGCTCGCCTCTCACCGTCACCGTCCAAGTCAACCCGCACCAGCTGCTGCCGCGTCATTCCCGATCGGCAGCTGCTTTGTTGTTGCCTCCTCATCGTGGTAGTGAACCAGAAAGGCGGTGATTTTGGGAATTGTGATGATGAAATTGCTTTTCTCAAAACCAGCGTGATATTCTGCAAGATTGCATATAGCTCTGAACCGAATAAGCTTCTTGAATCGGATCCATCTATGTTAATCATTCAATGGTCGTTGTCCGGTTATTGCTAGCACATCGGATCCAATCCTCTGCACTTCCACGTGTTCCTTCTCAAACCCAGGCAAGGTGATGAACATGATAACGTGATTTTGAAGATCCATCCTCACGATTTTGGGTATGAGGTCTTCATATACCCTTTCGTCCCCGGTTGAGAGTTGTGACGAACTCGGGTAAGGGATTTTGAATGGAAGCCCAAAGTACATATATATAGGAAATAGTGGAAAACCCTAACAATAAACCTAATTCTATTAAATGACTACTAACCTTAATAAGACTTACCCTAATAATACTTAAAATAATAAATATAGAAACTCTAGATAAATCGGTTTCTAACAGAGTTCCAGAGATTTTTGGCGAGAGCTGCATGTGAAGTGGGAGGGGTCACACCCTCTTTTTATAATGCCCGAGGGCCAGTATCGTGCTCGAGGGCATATTATTACGGTCTCGGGACCGTGATAATAACTCGATGCCTGTGATGTTGGCCTAAAAAGGGGAGTTTTGTGATGACATCACGGGTGATCAAGAATTAAGGGCTCTAGCCAGTGATAATTAGACAGTGATAATTACCCACCGCCCGTGAGGTCGGCCCAACATCAAAATTCCTATCGATATTACGACCTGCTGCAGTTGTCACTGTCTACAGACTATGGCAATTGCGCATAAACCGTGCAAAAACAAGGCATTTCAACAATTTTCAACGGTTAATTGATTCAACTATGCCACTAACTCAACCATAACACATTCAAACACTCAAAAACATAAACCTTGGAACGGTGATCATTCAAAACTCTCTCACTTGATTCAAACGCACACACAAAAATAGAAAAACAGGAAAAAATATATGAACCAATGTTGGGTTGTCTTCCAACAAGCGCTACTTTTACGTCATAAGCTAGGCGGTTAATCCTTAAGCTTCGATCCACCCTAGCACCTCTTTGAAGTTGAGGTTCTCGTCATCTAGGTGGAGACTCAAGTAATGAGCATATTGAAAGGTATTTGACATCGACTCATGTAATTGAGTGACTTGAAGCCTCCATCCTTGAGACCTCTCCTTCTCTCCTTCGTCATTCTTCTCTTTGCCCCATACTATGTTGGACATCATGGATTGACCAGCATCACATCCATCAAGAGGGATCAATGATGGTTTGTCGGTGGCTTGGCAAAGAGCCACAAATGAGCCCTTCTCCAAAAGTGCATCCAGGTCGGGTAGAAATTATTCGTATCACTTGTAAATTGTAGAAGCTTCATTCACCACGACCTCGTCCTCACCTTGGACCTCACTTGCTCCTTCTACTTCAACCTCAACCTCCTTTCCTTATTTAAAGTTTGATTCCTTCCCTTAGGAATAATCAAGATCTTCCTCTTCAATGCTCACGTCCTCTATGTAAACCTCTTGCTTATCCTTCCCATTCTTTTCTTCAAAGTTATTCTCAGGAAGGAGAAAGTTACGAGAGTCGCCAATGAGAAACTCTTGATTATCCTCACCATGAGAGCTCTCCAGAGTGAGTTCCTCTTGCTCTACATAGTCTTCACTGCTCGCCCTTTCGACCTCCACTTATTCTTCCAATGGTGAGAGACGATGGCGAGCACAAGCTCGCGCAACCTCATATTCAAGTGTCAAACTGCGTGGAGGGATGTGTTGGACATCCATGATGGAGCTCATGCTTACAAATTACTCATGTATGGCCTCTTCAAATGGTAGGAGACGATTGCGAGCAAGTTGTGCAGATGCTTGCTCAAAAATCCCTCCTAGCCTCTCCGTGCTTTGATGGATCTCCGATATTTGTAGGAAAGAGGAGTTGATATGGTCGACGATTGGAAGATCCACATTGGATCATCCTTCGCCAGTACTCTTGGAAGATTGCTCCACCATGAGCTCTAATTCTCTCTTGGGCTTCGGTTGTGTAGTGACACATGGTTGTGAGGGATTCCCCACGAAAGTCTCCACGTCCAACTAAAACTTGGATTTCTTCACGGTTTTTGGAGGGAAATATCATTGATATGGGGAAGCCTCTACATATTCCCATTGGTATGGTTTTTCTTCTCGAAATAGGGAGTTTGATCATAGAACTTGGTTCCTTGGATTCAACCCTCTTGGTTACTCCATGAATCTCCGGTATACCCCCATTCGAGTGGAGGTGGATACCCCCACTTGTCGTAGAAGCCACTGGGATCCATGAGTCAACCTACATAAACAAAACCACTAAATGGAAATCAACCACACACAAACCACCCTTCAAAACGAAGAATGGGTGAACAAAACACAAACGAAACGCAAAAGAAAAAACGGCTAGAGTAAAAAACACAAGCCCTTTTCAGATAACTTAGAAGATGTGTTCCCAGGCAACGATGCCAAAAAATGACTCGATTCTAAATACACATCCCAATCGACGGGCAAGAATAATCGACGACCGTGCGTAGCATAGGGTAAACAAGCAATAAAGTTAGTCTCCTCCATTTGTGAGCAAACTTGCTCCACCCACTCTGTTAGCTTCGCTGAGCAATGAACAATCTCCTCCATTTCATGGAGAAATGAGGAATCGGAAGGGGCAAGGGCTTGGATTTGAAGATCCATCTTGGAGCATGATCTCTCAGTGTCTCGAGCAAACTGCACCACGAGAAGCCTTAATTGTTTGTTCGGATCTTCTAGTGAAGTGTAGCATGGCTCTACAGAGTGGCCCGTGAAGGCTTCCACGGCTAACTCTAACTCAGATGGCCCCTCAGGTTGTGGCAGGAACTCTTCTTGAAAAGGATATTGTTCTTGAGGTTCCCTAGGGTTTGGTTGTTCTCCGTAGTAGGGGGGTTGGTACTGACATCCGAATCCATAGTCTTCTCCTCCTTGATTTCTCCAGGGCGTCTCGGGGTAATACCACACGGATGGTGGTTGATTCCCCCAATGGTTGGAGAAGCCATGAGGATCCATGTTTCAGATCTACACCAACAAAAACATAACACCCAAGTGAAAAGCAAGGGTGGGAAAGAAAAGAAAAAAGCTAAAGTAACAGACTTTCACGTTTCTACAATAACCTAGAGGTCCCCGGCAACAGCGCCAAAAACTTGGCATGCTAAAACACAACACCAAACTGCGACCAAGTGTAATCGCAGTCCGGAAATGCAGTAACATGCAAGGTCTATTTGTCAACCCGGGGTCTAGATCTACTGCCTACTCCGTGAATATCTAATATCTAGCAAACTAAGTCGAGTGATTGTGATTTTAACTAAAAGCAGAAAGAAAGCAGGAAATGGTTCAAATTTCTTTAGCAAGGGAAGAGTCACACGGGAATGAGTCCCCCTAGCTCCTTAGTTAGGTCGAGGTTGTAATTACCCTGGGTTGATTAACTGTTGATTAAACTGCGGAAGATTCGACAGTAGCTTGGAATCTCTTAAGCTGACCAAGCCCTCTCAGTCCAACTACCCGGCAGACGACTAGTCTTCACCGGGATAGAAAGTTGAGGCTATGAATGCAGAACTCCACTACTGGAATTGGATTCCAGTACAAAGCAGTAAATCGATTAAATCTCGTATAATCAATCTACCACTACCGATTGATGAAGCTCTAACAACCTAATCAGATTCTATCGATCTCAGGTTGCAGCAGAAATCAAGAAAATATGATCATACTTCAATTGGGTCAATGAATCATGCATCAATCTATTATAACCAATCATTATAACAATCCCAAGTCATTACAATCAAGATCCCTAACACATGGAACTATGGTTCTTCATACCCAAGCGAGAGAAGGTTCTACTCCATAGAGAGAGAGGAAAACAGAAATCAGAGTAGTCATACTCTTAAAGATGAGGAAATTATGCTACGGGATGATGATTCTCACTCCTATGGTGATCTCCAAGCTCGATTGATGAAACCCAGCTCCAAAGTCACCTCTAGGATGTGTTCTCTACGCAATTTCTCTCTCTAGGGCTATGTTTCTTGCTCAAAAACACGATTCTTCCTTCAAAAGAACCAAAATTGGGTTAAAACCCAATTCTGCGCGATCACACGGCCAGGCCACACGACCGTGTGAAATCCCCAGCTGCCCGTGTGGAAGTGCAAAACGCCGCGTTTCACTTAAGTGGCTTCAGGTACTCTACACAGCCAAACCACATTGCCGTGTGTATTTCCAGTCTGGCCGTGTGAGCTCCCTGGACTTTCCACACGGCCACAAGGGGTCCTATACACGGCCAGTGTGGCTTGCCCGCGTCATGGAATTCCACACGGCCGTGTGGAATTTAGGTCTTCCCGTGTGGAATTTCCAGCTTTTCGTCAAACGTCCCAACTTCGTCCAATCGACCCCGAACTAGTGCCCAAACCTTCTTTCACGTACTAGGACCTGAAATATCACAAACAAGAACAACCTAGCGTGAAATTATCCTAAAACACGAGAGATGAGACTCAAACGGTACAGGAATGGTGGATAAAAACATGTGTATATATCAAGTCATCAAATTCCCCCACACTTAACCGTTTGATTGTTCCCAAGCAAACCTGACTCAAACCAATGCAACTCTCCAGACCACTATAGCAACATGTACCCCCTATCGTCGGTAGAGGATTTTCTAGATCATTTAGCAACTTACGAGGTCAACTGGTCTTCTAAGACGCCCCCTATCTCTCTCAATGCGAGTACTAGACTCAAGCCAGGATCATGAAAAGTAGTGGAACTAAGACAGTCAATTCATGGATAAGGAGACTCACACAATCCAACAACCAAGGACTCATTGTATCGGGTGCTCTTTCATTTCATTTCACTTGGTGGAACCCCTTCTTCTTACTATTTGTTCCTTTTTTTTCTTTGCTAGGGTTCCAACTGCAGTTTGTATGCGCGGTCTGCCCTTATTAGGTGAGCAAGAGCAATTTCTGTACATCTGTCACTCGCCAGAGTACTTCTTTTAACTCCTATTCCTCACTTCGTGTGGAGGGTCAATGAAATCAAGGGGGGTCGGAAGCTCTATCTGTGCCCTTAAAAGCACATCCTCAAGTAGGCAAACCGTTCAACGGGTGGAAATTTTACTTGTACTAGAGACAACTTAGCTTCACCTTGTAGGCCTACCCCACCAAGGATCACTCAAATCTCTTCCAAAACCCGATTTTGTGAAATGAACGGTGCCACACACTTTGGGCTTATCCCATATCTTAGAATTTCAAATTTTTGACATGGAGGACCAACTGCTTTTTCATTTCACATATGAGCACCTTTTTTCGATACAAGAGTCCACAACACAACATAAGAGGACTCATCAATACCACATGAATCAACGGTCCTAAATCCACCAGTTTACAAAATCAACCGGCACAGCAGAGAGACAGATAGGAAAAATCTTATACTTCAACATCCTCCATAGTGCTACAATTACCTCCCTAGGTTGCATACCACCATAAAGGCTGTCAATTCAAAGCATACTGAGCAGGATTTTGCAGGGAACAGTACTTGGAGCCCTCAATTCATCAAATTGGATAGTGGACTAGGCTCCAAGCACACAAACTCATCCAGCAGTCAAAAATAGATAAACACCCTCCTCCCCCACACTTAAGCGCGACATTGCCCTCAATAGAGCAGAGGGAAAGATAAGGGGAAACGATGTTACCGGGAATACGGACTGTCGGGGGACTGGAAATGGGACCAGTCAGCAAGTCTAGAGTCATTAAAACACACTGGGTGATAAAAATCATAGTTCCAAGTGGACAAACCGAAAAACAAATGAAAGAAAAACAAACCTTGGTGGGGTTGCCTCCCCACAAGCGCTTCTTTTACGTCTTAGCCAGACGGTGGCTCCTAAGTTTCGGTTCACCCCAAAACCTCCTTGAAGTTGAGGTTCTAGTCGATGATGTGGAGTCTCAAGTCACAAGAAGGTGATGTGATAGGTGATGAAGATGGCTCGTGGCCTTGAGGAAGATGAAGTCTCCACTCACGAGACCTCTCCTTCGCGTCTGCTCTTGTCTCATTGCCCCAAACCAGATAAGATATATTCTATTGACCACCATCGCATCCACCAAGAGGGATTGATGTTGATGTGGTCTTGGTCTGGCAAAGAGACACTGCAAATGGGTCCTTGCCAAGCAGCTCCTCGAAGTTTGGTGGAGATATCAAATGTAACATAGGGCCGGTGCAAGCCTCTTCCACCTCAACTTCATCCTCAGCCAGGACGCCAATTGCTTCCTCAACCTCCCTTCCTTCTTCAAAATGTGGTCTCTCCCCTTGGAAAAGATCAAGAATTACCTCTTCTTTGCTTTCTTCCTCCTCCTCCACAACTTCCTTCCTCATCCTTGCTCGCTCTTCTTCTTCTAGAACAGATTGGAGAGCAAGTCGCCAAGCAATTTCTTCAATGGGATCATCTTGCATCTCCTCGCACGGGCCCAACATGTTAGAGCAGAAATGAGGAAAGGTATGATCTGCAACCAGAGGACTTTCCTGATCATGTCATGGGAGTTCTCTGTGATAACTTCTGTATGCTCCTCAACGTCCCCGTAGCCTTTGTCATCCTCCACCTCTTCTAGCGTGGTAGCAGAAAGGTGATCTTGAGCAGGATGTGAGCAAACTTGCTCCACCCACTCTGTTTACTTCGCTGAGCACTGAGAAATCTCCTCCATTTCATGGATAAATGAGGGATCGGAAAGGGTAAGGGCTCGAATTTGAAGATTCATCTTGGAACATGATCTTTAAGTGTCTCGAGCAAACTGCTCCACGAGAAGCCTTAATTGTTTTTTCGGATATTCCAGTGAAGTGTAGCATGGCTCTGCAGAGTGGCGCGTGAAGGCCTCCATGGCTAACTCCAACTAAGATGGCCCCTCTGGTTGTGGCATGAACTCTTCTTGAAAAGGATATTGTTCTTGAGGTTCCAAGGGTTTGGTTGTTCTCCGTAGTATGGGGGTTGGTACTGACATCCGAATCCATAGTCTTCTCCTCCTTGATTGCTCCAGGAAGTCTCGGGGTAATACTACACGAATGGAGGTTGATACCCCCAATGGTTGGAGAAGCCATGAGGATCCATCTTTCAGATCTGCACCAACAAAAATATAACACCCAAATGAAAAGCAAGGGTGGGAAAGAAAAGAAAAAAGCTAAAGTAACAGACTTTCACGTTTCTACAATAACCTAGAGGTCCTCGACAACGGCGCCAAAAACTTGACACGCTAAAACACAACACCAAACTGCGACCAAGTGTAATCGCAGTCCGGAAATGCAGTAACAGGCAAGCTCTATTTGTCAACCCAGGGTCTAGATCTACTACCTACTCTGTGAATATCTATTATCTAGCAAACTAAGTCGAGTGATTGTGATTTTAACTAAAAGCAGAAAGAAAGCATGAAATGGATCAAAGTTCTTTAGCAAGGGAAGAGTCACTCGGGAATGAGTCCCCCTAGCTCCTTAGTTAGGTCGAGGTTGTAATTACCCTGGGTTGATTAACTGTTGATTAAACTGCGGAAGATTCGACAGTAGCTTGGAATCTCTTAAGCTGACCAAGCCCTCTCAATCCAACTACCCGGCAGACGACTAGTCTTCATCGGGATAGAAAGCTAAGGCTATGAACGCAGAACTCCACTACTGGAATTGGATTCTAGTACAAAGCAGTAAATCGATTAACTCTCGTACAATCAATCTACCACTACCGATTGATGAAGCTCTAACAACCTAATTAGATTCTATCTATCACAGGTTGCAGCAGAAATCAAGAAAAAGATGATCAGACTTCAATTGACTCAATGAATCATGCATCAATTGATTATAACAAATCAGTATAACAATCCCCAGTCATTACAATCAAGATCTCTAACACATGGAACTAGGGTTCTTAATGTGATCAAAGTACGCAGCTTCAACGATCTTTTTATGATTTTCTGATGTCGCCTTTCTTGAACTCGAAAAATAAAGATAGATGCGGAATCAATCGGACAATTCCTAACTCGTGATGAAGGGCAATTGGTATATTAAACCAATCGGACAACACCAGCTCGTGGAAAGGGGCAATTGATATAGGGTAGAAGCTCGCCACAACTAGACGCGTTCTCTAGTTGATAAGAGACACGTGAAACCTCTGGAGCACTCTCGACAGAAGCTTGCACAAAGAACCAGTTCGTTTGAACATGAAACTTGAAAGTTGATTGATAATAGAATCAATTACAATGAGGGACTCATCCTCCTTATATAGGCAACGAAAATCCAATCCTAAACTAAGAAAGAAACCAAACAAATGACCAAATCCTACAATTAAAAGGAAAACAAAACCTTAAAGGAAAAGTAAACTCAATCCTTAAAAGACAAGAAAAAGACTTGGTCAACAACTCCCTAGATTTTAGCATTGCAATCCTCCCTCACATGGCTTGTGTTCACACCTGATATTCCTTTCACACTTGTATTCCTTTCACACCTTGTGTTCACACCATGGAGAATTCCTTACTTTTAGGCCAAATTCTTCACTCTTCCTTCCAAGCCCATCTTCTCTTGATTCTGGTCCACAAATTGTAGTAATGTGATGGGCTTTCCTCGATGCAATTCCATATCCATCAAGAATGATCCCATTTGATCCTTATATCGTTGTATTCGAGCCTTCATCTTTGGACCACAAGAATTATATGTTCTGCCAATTGATTTCACATCAACAAACTCGTAGGCCTTGCTGGCAGATCCCTTTTCCCCCATCTTGAATGCTCCCAATATCTCTTTGAGCCTCTTAATTCGTCTCTTGGCCCATCGTCCATGTGAAGATATATCTTGGACTAGAATGTGCACATATGGGGTGAGCGGGGTCGCATCAGCTAAGGCTATGAACGCAGAACTCCACTACTGGAATTGGATTCCAGTACAAAGCAGTAAATCGATTAACTCTCGTACAATCAATCTACCACTACCGATTGATGAAGCTCTAACAACCTAATCAGATTCTATCTATCACATGTTGCAGCAGAAATCAAGAAAAAGATGATCAGACTTCAATTGACTCAATGAATCATGCATCAATTGATTATAACAAATCAGTATAACAATCCCCAGTCATTACAATCAAGATCTCTAACACATGGAACTAGGGTTCTTCATACCCAAGTGAGAGAAGGTTCTACTCCATAGAGAGAGAGAGAGAGAGGAAAACAGAAATAAGAGTAGTCATACTCATAAAGATGAGAAAATGCTTCTATGGGATGATGATTCTCACTCCTATGATGATCTCCAAGCTCGATTGATGAAACCCAGCTCCAAAGTCGGCTCTAGGATGTGTTCTTCGCACTTTCTCTCTCTAGGGCTCTATTTCTTGCTCAAAAACTCGATTCCCCCTTGAAAAGACCCGAAATTGGATTAAAACCCAGTTATGCCCGATCACACGGCCAGGCCACACGCAGTGGCGGAGCCACTTGGAGAGGAGGGGGGTGCTTGCACCCCCCTTGGGTTTGGAGATAAAATTTCCCAGTAGGGGTATATACAAATTCGAACCAATGACCATTCAGTTGCAGGAAGAATTTCTTATCATTTCGATCGAGTGAGTTTTGTTATGCAATGCACTTTCGTCTTTATTTATAGTAATAAATTGTTGTCTTTTGTTTAAACTCGCTCATTTTTTTTGTAGCTCTACAACAACGAAATTTCTTGTCTTTTGTTGAAACAAAGTTGAAAGTGAAGAAGTACCAATTGAAGTTCACTTGTTTGTTTCACAAAATCAATTCCAAGGTACTTCTGAGTTCTAATTTGTAATATTTGATGAATGAAAGTCTTGATTTGTATGTACTGAACTTATTTGTTTGACGTTGTAACCGGTGTACGTGAAACTATTTTAATGTAATTGTAAGAATTTAGAGTATTGCGTTGTTGACTTTTTGTTTAATTTAAAGTTGACTTTTCTATTGTATAAGTGATTTTTAATGATATGATAAAGACACCCCCTTGGTCAATTTTCTGGCTCCGCCACTGGCCACACGGCTGTGTGAAATCCCCAGCTGCCCGTGTGGAAGTGCAAAACACCGAGTTTCACTTAAGTGGCTTCAGGTACGCTGCACGGCCAAAACCACACAGTCGTGTGTATTTCCAGTCTAGCCGTGTGAGCTCCTTGGACTTTCCACACGGCCACAAGGGGTCCCATACACGACCATTGTGGCTTGCCCGCGTCATGGGATTCCACACGGCCAAGTCACACGACCGTGTGGAATTTAGGTCTGCCCGTGTGGAATTTCCTGCTTTTCGTCAAACTCCCAACTTCCTCCAATCGACCCCGAACTCGTGCCCAAACCTTCTTTCACGTACTAGGACCTGAAATATCACAAACAAGAACAACCTAGCGTGAAATCGGTCTAAAACACGAGAATTGAGACTCAAACGGTACATGAATGGTGGATAAAAACGTGTGTATATATCAAGTCATCACTAGCTAACCTAGAATAGTGAGTAGGGAAACTTAAATAACTAACCTAGCTAACCAGTAAACTAGCTATTTACAAATTGTGGATCTCTCTTAGCTTGAATTTCCTTAGTTCCATAATTTAGATTGTTGTTGAGTACTCTCCTAGCTCAATTGGCTCACTATTCTACCGTTAGGAGATAGACTCACTCTAGGGATTTCCCGGGATGATATAAGATAGGAGTGACCCAAAGATGCCATTAATTGGCTATAAGGTGGTTGTCACCCTCCTAGGTCAAAAGCTCAATTGACGTGAAATGAAAACCAAACTCATGCAATTCATGGAAACCATTCATCAACTAGATAAATTCACCAATCAAGCATGGAATCCGTCACATACATCAACATCAAACCAAAATTTTGACCTAGGGTTCATCAACCTAAGAGAAGATGTATAGTTCATAGAGAGGAGAGAGATTACAATACAAAAAATAAAACACAAATTCTTCCATCCTTTTCTTCTAGCGATTGATCTCCAAGCTTCAATGGTGGGTGACTCCTCCAAGCAAGCTTCAATGGTGGGTGAATCTTCTTCTACTGCCATCTATTTATACTGCCTGAGCGCCAACATCATAGGCTGAACATCATAGCCGTGACAATGACAACGCGCCCCTGATCTCGACGCAAAATATAGCCTATTGCTGATGTTTTAGTTCGTCTTTACAGTTAGCTGGAAAAGATCACGGCCTGGTGACCTTGATAATTGACCTGTCTATGAGGCATGCAAAACTTCCTATTCCTCAGAAATCTTCACGTCCACAGATCAATCTTCACGGGCTGGTGACCATGACAAAATCTCCCAGAAGGTGATCCCCACACTTTCGTCATACTTTGGTGCTTTTCGATCCCATTCGTCCCAGAACTCGTCCTCGACCTTCCCTCATGTACTAGGACCTGAAATATAATAGAAAATGGCATAACCTAGCGTAAAATAGGTCGAAGAACGATGATAACCAAGTCAAACAATCAAGATATAGGTGGATAAAAGATGTGTAATAATGCGTGAATCAGAACTATTAGAATCCTAATTACCTTAGTTATCATCAACAATTCACATCTCCACCAATTTGATGTAAACACTACATTTTTACATGGCTACCTAGCAAGGATGTCTACATGGTTCAACCACATTGACCCTCTACAGATCCTAGTGATGCTAGCAAAGTTTGCAAACTAACCAAAAGTCTATACGGCTTGAAACAAGCCGGTTGGCAATGGTTTCTCAAACTAACACCCGCTC